CCCCCCCCGCCAGCCGTGATGCGCCGAGCGAAGCCGAAGCGAGCCGATGTTAGCCGAGTCCTAGCATCCTGGTCGCTAGGCAACGCAAGTCAACAGCGGTGACGTCACCAAGTAGTAACAGCGGTTACCTCCGCTAGCGTTACATAGCAACACGGCGCCATGCAAAGGGTGCCTATTACGTGGCCGTTTTCCCGTATTGTCCGATCGAGGCTACATACGGAGCAGCGAAGGCTATTCACAGTCAGTTGTACAGAGTTGTACTGAGACAGTCGCCGAGGTCAGTTGTATTGTGGCATTTGGAGTGTACTAATTGTGATACTGCAGGTAGCAGTAATCGTCAGATTGTAATTTGGGTGATTGTATGAGCGAATGTGAAATAAAGTTCGCTACATCGAATACATCGAGAATTTATTTGTCGCGATATATGCACGATACGCGACAATATATTACTGTTAATATTACAGGTTTTCTGGACTTTGGCCATCTACTAGTATTCTAGAAAACAAACGAGGTTTAGGGATTATGCTAGAGATTATATCTAGCAGACCCAGCTGGATAGGTGCCTCCCCACCTTTCCAAGTCAAGGCAAAAATAAATCCAGGTTCTGAAACCTATTCTGTTCAGAATACTAGACAGTGGGCAGAGTCCAGAGATGCCATAATACTAAGTGTAATAACCACCATTGGCACCCTTTTGAATTAAAATAATTTGGAATTGGTAGTTTATCTGTAGCAGGGCCTTTGCTTGTTGCACAAGTGAGATGGAGAACTCGTGATGGTGGGCATGTGTAGAGGAAGAAGATAAAGGAAATCACATATGCTTTCCTATGCCTAAATGTTAAAAAATTTATAACTATACAAGTGGCAAACATATAAAATGTGGATAAACAAATCAGTATACAATATCTCGTGCACATTTCAGGAACCTCTTTATTAGCAGGCAGGATTTCATAGAGGTGGACATGATTTTTGTGTCATTGTGCTGTCATGTGAGCAGATATATCTGAAATGAGTAAAAGTAGTTCACATTTGGTGTAATGTTTTGGAATATGTCTACTAGTATGCGAAATTGGGTATTGTATTAATTGTATATTCCACTGATTCCAGCGGATCCTTTACATCCATAAATTGGGTCTTTTGTGGCTACAGTGTAGTAGGTGTAGTAGATGGCCTCCAGGTCTAGAGGGTGTATTGAATAAGTGATAGCAGACAGAAGACCCTAGCCTGGAGGTAGGTCCAAGAACCAAAAACTCACCTATAA